GTAAAACTAGGTTGTTCAAAAGTACATCTTGAGAAGCCTCAATAGTTGGTTGTTGTTTGGGGGGTTTTGTTTGTTTATTTTTGGCTTTTTTTTAGATAATCTTGAAGGACCATTGTAAGAATCTTATATTCACCAGTAGGGCTGCCATTGGCCAAACCAAGAGACACCTGGGCTCTTAAAAAAACCACATTGGGATTCTCTGCATCTTTCAGGTCTTGGTGTGAATCATCATGTTGCAAAGAAATCTGTCTTTTCTAGAAAGTATTTCTGTAGCTGCATTGGTTTAAAAAAGTTGTGAAATGACAGCACCAATTTTGATCATTGTCAGTTCAGACTCCAGCTAGCAGCTGAGTAGTCATTGACCCAACATGCTTGTGTACTACTCGATCTAAACAATTCTTTACTCATTACATGGGTCATTTAACATGGGCAGAAAATAGAACCAAACACAAGGAGTGGCTGTGCTTTCTCTCTCTCTTCCCATTACAGAGAATTCTGTTCCCTATTGGGGAATGAACAAATGATGCCTTCACTTGAGGGAAGTAGATTCCTTACCCACTAGCAAAACCATGGAGTTTAGAATAAGTTTCTGCTGAAAGGCTTTCCTCCTTACTGTTCCTGCAGGGATTTGCAGAAATATATCTATATATACTTCGCTTAAAAGGAGACAGTATGTGGATGTCTGTCATATGTCCACTCAGAACATGCATGACAGCATATTACTACAGAAGAAATCTTGAATAAAGTTGCCATTTCAACTGCATGTTTAATATTGATTTTAAGCCAATGGGCCCCCCTAGCAGAATGATAGCAATGGAAATTTTCAATGCACTTTGGGTCAGAACAAAGTAATGAAATTGCTTTATATGCTCTTACTAGAAACATCAACAACTCACATTTGTTTACTATCTGAAATCCATACTTTAACACATGACCAGCCATGCTTTCCTATAGATGCAAAAACCAGAAGATCATTTAGGGGCTTAGTTAGTCTCTTAATACCACTTCTTGCAGCTTTCATCAAGGATCACGTGAAGAGAGAGTTAACTAGAAAGGTGAGAGGGAGTTACTGGGCTGGAGAGAGAAGGGATGGCCAAGACAGAGCTGTGTGAGGACAGGAGCTGTGAAGACAGCCCATGTTTCCTTCACCGGATGAGAACCACTACATAGTTGAGGGCTTTTCTCTTTCTGAAATTTTTCAACTCTCAAGCCTATGTTCTTTCAATAACAATGCCAGGAGAGTCCATTGACTAATCTGCACAGAATTTGTCTGTTCCTTTATTTCTTCTTGGTGGATAAATCTTTTCGTATGGTGAGCTGCCTGAGGCAAAGCTCATGGCAGAAACTTTCGTCCAGATTAACTTTACTAGATATTTCCCTCAGAGGATCATTTCTGGTTTAGAGATAAATAGTTTACACATAGCTCCAGTATATACTGTGTGGTGCTCACAGTACTGAGCAAGCCAAGCGGTCAGTGCATGACCAAGCAAGCCAAAATGCCTCTTTCTCCATATAAACTCTGGTTGCTTTTTTCTTTTTTTTTGGTAGCGTGTAGAGGGCATTTACCCTTGTTCAGTTTCTGTCATGCATAATTTTTCTGCTAATCTGGTGTTACTCTAACTTCTCAGAGTGTGTATCAGCACAGTCTAAAAACAATCATCAGATGAAGACTGAATGGCAAAAAAATACTAATACAAAACCACACATATTTCACAGAAGCATTTCACAGAAGCAGGCTCTATCCTGTTTTATTTTGTTATGTCTTGATACAATGTGTTATATCAAGGAAAGCAACTAATATCAACACAGCTTTATATCCAGGGGCAGCATGCACAGATAAAGCGTAAGTGAAATGAGATAAAATATTCTGCTTGATGATTAACACTGAACAAGATTGTATTGAAAAAAGAGATGCCAAAGTTTTTATATGAATGCACATGAACAAAAAATGACAGTGTAAACTATTAAATGTTTTGAGGTTGCTACTGATTTACTATCAGAAATGTTGAGGCAGCCAGCTTATTAGATAATAAATGGCTTAATAGCAACATGCTGAAATTTTATTTGGCTAGTGACTTAGGTCTTCAGTGTCCACTCAGACATGTAAAACCATCTGAAAAGGTGAGCTGAAAGACTATCGAGCATGATAGTAAACACAGGGCTAATGACAATATTTTGAAAAATAATAGTTCGAACAAGAAACCTAAAATTCAAGCATTGCTTTAGAATGCAAAGGAGTGCGAGAGATGAGTCAGTCTCAATACCTTGGCAGTAATATGCAAGCCAGTGGGGATATCCAGAATGAAATCATGTCACAAATTGGCAAGGCAGCAGCTGCATTTATCCGCTTAAATAAGATTCAATCCTTGAAAATCTACAACTTAAAGAACAAACTGAATATTCAACTCATGTTATTTTCAACTTGACAGATGGATGAGAAAGCTGAAAGTCTACCCAAAGTATATGCAGTCATCTAAGAAGCCTGATAAAAGACTTTGGAAAACTTAAACTTAGAAAAAAATAGTATTTTTTAAAATAAGTGAATTTCTAACAAGATTTCCAAAGTTTAACAGTATCTGTCAGATATCAACCAAAAAAAAAAAGTTGTATATGAGATATATGTTGGTAATAAAAATGAAGAATCTACTGGGTAAAAGTATATATACAAGTATATGCAAAAGGGGAGAGCTAAAAGTACACCTTCTGCTGAACACTGCAAAGGGCAATGCTTACAGGACTCCCTACCATGAAGATCATAAAACTTGCTGTGTGTGGAGCCCATGTGGCTGCTGCCAAGATGCTCCTGGTGGCCCCCACCAAGGACAGCTCAGGCCAACCTTCCCCTGCCCCCTTCCACTGCAGGAGCTCCCAGAGCATGAGAGAACTGTTTCCAAACTGAGGAACAATCTCAGAAAATAAGTATCTTTTAAATGGAGTTTTATGAAAACCAAGTTATGAGAACTGAGAGTGTATGTGAATTCCTTCTAGTTTGTACAACACAGCTAACCAGGTGCTACCATGTGCTGTCTGGATGGAAGGGTAAAAATACGGTAGTGGCTCAAATAGACTCAAATAGTGGCTGTATGCATCAAACAGCTGCTTCATCTGGTTGCACTGTATGGCTGGGAGTTTTCCGGTAGATTCATTCCACTCAAGATTTTAAAGGCAAAGTCTGTGGGAAAAGATATGCCCTTTTGTAAGCAGATACAGAAACAAAATTCTGGCCATTTTTATTTCTATACTTTAAAAAAAAAAAAAATCATTATAGAAAATAGTGTGACAGTCTAGTAGGAAGCACGAATAGCAAAGTTTCAGACCCTACTCCAGACATTGTTTTTCATTACACTGGGCCTTGTCTACTTCAACATATTTCTCAGTTCTTCCCAGCTCCAGCCAGTTGTATCTTCCTATCTAGTCCTTTAGTACAGAAAAAAATGAAACTGCATCAATAGTAAAGTCCTTTATAGGGTAGATCCATTTTTTTACTATTGTATGGAACTATGGAGATTCCCAAGAAAACAAAATCCTGGCAACATCTATATGTAAACTGAGTAGAAACATGATGCAGAAAGCACTGAGACACAGTTAGTACGTGCTATCCCATTTTGAGAGCTGAATCACGTTATAGAGGAGCCATGTTCAAGAAGCTTAAATGCTAACTGGGTTGGAGCTTTAATCCTTTTACTGCCTTTGAACCACACTCCTGTCTCAGCTGTGATATTATGAGGCTGTCTAGTCAAATTAATTGCATCCCCTTGTAGGAGTCATGTAGGTGCCTATCTTATTTCTACATTTCTAATGGAGGCAGCACTGTGATAACTAAACTGTGCTTCGTCATTGTACCTTTTTCTTTCCTTTTATATCTTATCACGTGTAAAAATTGCTGGTAGAGAAGTTGAAAACAGAAAGAAGGAAGACATTTAAGCCAAATAGGTGTATATTTTGGCAACTCCGTAGATCAGCCTCCACACCTGGCTACTGATGAACGGTGGTGTGAAGAAAAAAAAAACACATCCCTCCCCCCCCCAAAGAAAAACAACAAAAACCTAAACAAACCAACAAACAAACTTCTTTGCAATCTAGAAGAACCACGGTGCTCAGTGTCCACGAGATGTTTGCAAACCACCTCCGCCGAGCCCGGGCTCAGCGGCTGCTGTTACGCAACCCGCTGCTGTCCTGCTGGGCGGCTCTGCGGAGCGGGGCTCGGCGCCGAGCGGCGATAGCCCTGAGCGCTGCCTTGGCGCTTCGCTAGGAACCGCAGAACTGCCTGCACCTCTCCAGCTCGCTGGAATTAGCACAGTTCACTCGCCGGCAGTTTTAGCGGTGCAGAAAGCAAGCGTTCCAGCGGCGGGGCCTCTCTCCGCCGAGCGACGGGGAAACTGCGGGTGCCATCCCCGGCCCAGCTGGCAGAAGCGCCCAGGAGAGGCGTGAGGAGCTGCGAGAGCCTCCGCTGCCCCCGCCGCTGTGCCCAGCGCTCCGCACCATCAGCGCCCGCAGCGCTCGCCGCCACCGCGCCGCTCGGCCCCGCCGCTCCCCGCTCCGGCCGCCTCCCTCCGCAGGGCGAGCCGGCCGCCCGCCTGCCCGGCCCCCCCGGCCCCGCGTCCCGCCGCCCCCCCGCGGGGTCACCCGGGGACAGCTCCCGCCTCCCGCCGCAGGAAGCGCCGCAGCCGCCCCGGCGCCTCCCGCTCGGCGCTCTCCTGTGGCAGGTGAGACTCCCCGCGTCCCCCCCCGCTCTCCCGGCGGCCGCTCCGCACGGTGTCCCCGCCGGTCCCCGACTAAGGGCCCGGGGCCGGGGAGAGCGCCCCTGGGCCGGCGCGTGGGGCGGGAAGCCCGAGCGAGGCTTCCGCGGACGGGGGCCCGGGGCCGCTCTCCGGTGCTGGGCTGGGGCGGCCCGCACCGGCGGGGATGGAGAGGCGTCCGGGCGGGAGCGGCGCAGCCGGCCGCCCCCGCAGCCCGGGGCCCGGCCTGCCGCCGGGGCGGGGAGGCCCCGGTGTGCCGCCGCCCAGGGAACGAGGCTCCCTCCCCTTCCCAGCCGTGCCGGGGCTCCCCTCGTGGCCCCGGGCTCCCCGCGCTGGCCGTGCGAGGGCTGGGCTGGAGATGCAAGGGCAGCGTCAGCTGCCCCCGGCCCTACGTTTTGCCAGACGTATTTACTGGTTACACGGAAAGAATATAGGCTCCAGGAAGGGCTACGACGCGTTTGCTGCTTCTGCAGAGTTCTTCCCACTCCTAGGAGCTGCGCAGACCTCGCAGGAGGGTCCGGGTTGCTCCCCAGGGAATTCAGCCACTTTCCCTGCGCGGCGCGTGTGGGAGCGCTGAGCTCAGCTGGGATGGCAGCATGGGAGATGGCTGGGAAGCGCTGGGGAGTTCGGGCCACAGATGGCAGTGGCCGTGTGTTATCATTCCAGACTGCACTCTGTGACCAACTGACAAATTGAGACAAGTTGTAAGAGCCTCACTGCAAATATAGTAACACTGTTAATCGTACTTGTGACTATGAAGGATCATGAACCAATATTTTTTAAAAAATGGATGCTACTGGCCTCCTAGTCGAGTGAAATCAATACCTCATGGGAGTTTCATAGGGTGTACTGCAGGACACTTCTGCGGGAGAGATGTAAACAAACTAACACAGAATACACATTATGTGAAAAATGCAAGGCACAGGAATATGGAGTAGCTTAAGTCCTGCAGCAACAGGTGGCAGAGCTGAGGAGAAGAGAGTGTGTGTCCTGGCTCTCTGTCTTGCATCTGTTGTAGCACAGTTTTCCTCCATAAAGGGTAGAGCTTCCTCTCACCAAAACAGTGGCAAAATACCATCAGCTGCCAGGAAGGCAGGATGAGCTCTTGCTTACCAAAACTGTGATAAAGAACTAAAATTAATTAATTATTATTAGACTGGGAAAGCAACTCTGGGCAAAAAAAAATGTCCCTGTAAGTTGTGCTCAGACTGTATGACCAGAAAAGCAATGTTCTGGTGAGGAGATTGGGGCTCTCCTGAAGGCATATGTTGTGAGGTGACCATTGCCATCAGAGGAGGATGCTCTCCTAGGTCACGCAGTATGGAGCAGTTGTGCTCTGGAGCAATCAAGAGGCAGTGAAAAGCAAAAAGAGCCTCAATGAAAAGAAAGCACTTGCAGAACATAAAGGATAATCAATTCACAGTTCTTTGACACGTTAAAGATTATTTTTTTATCCAGAAATTATACCTGAAAGAAAATACTGCAGGGGACTGCAGCACAAAACCAGAGGCAAAGGAAAACAGTAAGATACTGCATATCATTAAAGAAAAGTTAGTAGAGTCAATCTGCACAAGCAAGATTGCCAAAATGAGTAAGACTTGGTTAAGAATTTAAAGCACAACAGCATGTTGGGCTGCAAAAGTTTAAAGTCTTGGTCTTTTTCGTTGAATCAATAGACATAAACCAAAAATATACAACTTCTAATATAAACTTATATGAGCAGTTGAGATAAAACTTGAACAGGATGAGAAGGCATTGTTAGTAAAAAAGGCTAGGGATATGGTATCAGGATTTATTAGGGAAATGAAGAAAGACATATTGTCTCAGATGTAAAAAGGAAATCTCTTAAAAAATGAGGCCTAGCAGAAAGAAAGAAAGGGAACCTGCCAATACAGCAATGCTTTGTTTTCATAGAAAAGGCTGAAATGGAAAAGTTTTGTGCAAAAAGGCAGGGGGAAAAAGTGAAATAAGAAAAAATGTTTTTCATAAGGATGGAAACCTCTTATTAAAAAGAAGTTGAAATGCTCCAGGTAACACAAACATTTTCAGAATGTAATATTGGAGTTAATTGACCAGCTCAAGAGAATCAAACAAAAAAGACGTAGGATGGTATTACTCAGAAAGAAATCAAGATGCAGGAGATAAATTACATTTATTTTCATTACACAAATTGTTACAATCTGGAGATCAGCCTGAGAAAGACACAAAAAGTGAGGTAGCTAGTAGAAAAGTTGGGGAAAAGGATCAAGAAAAGAGAGTGGGAAACAGAGCATAAGTAGGCAGCTGAACTGCTACAGGCATTTCTGGAGACTTTCATCTGGGAGGGAGGGATACAAAGCTGCTGTCCTAGGGAACTGTGAGCTTGTTTTGCTATGTGAATGGCAGTTAAAACTAGAAACCCGGACCCTGAGACCTTACTGTTTTATTTTCTTGGTAAATGAAGATACTCTGGATAAACCTGAGAAATTCTTGAATGTGCTAAGGTCTGGATTTCCAGGAAAAGGATAAGGACTAAGCAGGAAAAGAGCTGATACAGGATGATGTATCTGCTGCAACTGGGGGATGTCAGAAGGAAGGCCAAGAAAGTTAAGGAGCACTGCAAGCCAAAGGTACTTATAGAAAATACAGATTTTATATACACCTGAAATCAAAACAAGAGATTGTGAGGCAATTTCCTGGAAAGCATTACCAACTAGAAGGAGCAACTGGGATAAGGGCTGAGGTTCAGCCACTCTTGTACAGCAGCACATACACGACTATGAGGTATGGTCTGTTACAGGATGTCCTGCAGACCAGGCAGCAGCCTAATAGCTATCCTGTACCAAGCTGGGCTTTCTAGGTCATGACAAAACAGCATTTCATGTAAAGAAAGGGGGCAATTACTGGTTTCTTCATCCACTCAGAGGAAATGTAGAACTTTTAATGGAGTGTTTGCCACCATAACAGAAAAAAAAAATTAATAAAAAGGAAGGAAAGCTTTTGTAGAAGGACAAATATAACAAAGTGGTGCAGTTATGAGAGTACAGACAGCTAAAGAAAAGGCATGACATAAATAAAATGAGAGGAAAAACAGTAAACTTCCTGACCTTTCCAAGTCAACAAAACAATTCAGCCCCATTTGCAATCAGTCATAAATAATGTCAGTCATTCTAACAAAAGATATTCTTACATTAGGATCCTGACATAACATTACATTACATTACATCCTGACATAAACTTTACACTTTGGTCTGACCTCAGCTTTCTAAATACAGACCAGTCTGTTTTTACTGCTTTTATGAAGTTCTTAATATTTCCGTTACAATTATTCTATTTGCATTTCAAAAATTTGCTATGGAGGTGAAAACAACAATATCATTACGAATCAGTTAATCTTCTGTACCTACTAGTTTAGCAAAATGTAAGGGAGAATACATGGAACCTATGAAACCTGAGGAACCTATGAACCTCAATCTGAAAGAGGGCTAGAGATATGCAGGATCTTCCAAACATTTCTTGGTTTTTATATTAATGGGTTAATAAACAAATAAGGGGAGGAAGAAAAGGATCCACACAAAGCTTTCAACGTATTAGCTAAAATGTTGCACTTGTCTGCCATATAGTGGCTAAAATTCAAATGAGATGTTGGGGCTGCATTATATAAATGGTACTATGAGTTCCATTATCTTTGGTGAATTAAGGTTTTAGCTGTAGTTAATGTATGTTAAGAGGTTTGGTCTAGCTGTTTTTGGAAAATGACAGAACACTAAAGCCACGTGGTTACTTCAGACAGATGTTTTCCTTTAGGTTTCTAGAGACAGGCGCAAGAGAACCCTTGACTTTCTTCTGTATGGCTAGGTCCTGGTGGTTACCCTTGATCAAGATCATGGTAAAGTAAACTTGAGGAAATTTACCTGTCCTCCTGGTGAAGGTAAGGAGTTTTATTGTTAAGAGGGTTTGACTTCTGAAGGATATATAACTGTGTCAAGCATGAGTTGAGGGAATGTAATACTTTGTGTTGAGATGAACTGCCAAGATCCAGTTTGTAAACTAGCCAGCTAAAGATCAAATGGCAGAGAAAACTGTGTAACTAAAATAGATAGGAAGAGATTTGGAGGGCTCTGTGTCTCAAAAGAGCACTAGAGTGGAAAATGTTGCAAATAACTTTCGTGACTTTGGCAAAAATATGTCATATAATGCTGCCTTCCTAATTTTGTTAGGATAATGACAGGTTTAATAAAAAAAGCTAATAAAAAAGTGAAAGTGAACTGTAAATAAGTAAGTAAATAAATAAAAACCTAACCAACTAAATAACTAAGTATGGTGAAGTGGGGACCATTGTGTTATGAAATGGCAGAACAGGTATACATTTGGAATTGGAAACTCAAATCTACTTACTGTATGGGTGCACATTTTGTTCTCCTTTAGTCTGGGCAGGATATATGGATTTGGTTCATTTACAGTGACATTTTTAAAAACTTTTAATTACTGGTCTTCACAGTAAGAATGCATGAATTATTTACTGTTTTAAGATATAATAGGAGATGTACTTAGGATCTCAGATCTGTTCAGTCCTCTGGGATTTAGATGGATGATCTCATCAGATTCAGACTCACTGCAGTAAGTCCAGAAATGTGCAGATGCTAAACATAATGCAGAATCTTAATTATTGTTTGTAGTTAATTAAAATGCTATTTTTGTTTGTTTTGCCTCCCTCTGGCATCTTCAAGTCCTAATTAATTCTTGACTGTGGGTGGTGGGATTAGGATTGGCAGCAAAACACACCTCAACCAGCCTACCAGCACCATAGGGCTGTACGTGCAGAAGCACTGCAGAAGCAAAGATCGCATTCTTGAGAAGTTAGATAAAGGTCGCTATTGTTCTTGCCGCCAAGATTATTTTTATCTCATTGTCAACATAGTTGTTAATGTACAAACATGGAGGTGAGATACAGAACACATGAAACTCATAAAAAAGGTGAAGACTTTGTATACATGTGCAATTAGAGCACTGCAGATGAGATGTACAGAAAAATGCTGAAGGGGAGCAAGTGTTTGCTTGACAGATTAAGGAACTGGCTGGCACTGTTCCTTGTGGTGAACTGCTTGGTGACATTTATGGCACTGATAAATAAAACCTCTGAACAAATATCATTAATTGATGTAGTTCAAGGAGTGACTATTTGGCGTGTTTCTATGGAGGTGGTATTTCAGGTGCATAACCAGATCAGGATTGAGGATTTTCGTTTGGGTTTTTTTCCTATAAAGTTGCACTTTTTCAGAGTACAATGAGATTTTTTGGCTTAGAAGTGCTGCTGTAATTGGTTTCTGGGGCTTTCTTGATTTGACCTAATTGGACATTTTGAAATGTTGCCAAAGTACGGGGTAGGATTTTGCCAGTTTTCCGTCAATGATTAATAAAGCTCATTTGGAGGATCAATTAGAGTTCCAAAAAGAAGATTTTGAACTGTAATTGTTATAAAACCAATGAATGCTATATTATTAATGGACATTTTCAATGTTGAATGATGAAATATGGTGTTATAATGAACAATAAATACACATTTTTTCCTAGAGAATTTCCTCCCTTCAGGTTATTATTGTGTTGTTTCAGGAATTCTTTAGTCAGGGTGTAAAATTACTTTAATTCTGGTTTGTAATGATATTTTTGGCATAATTCAAATTGTTGTTTTTAAAAAATCATTGGACCATTAAAAAGTGGTTTAAACAGGTAAGATTTCCTCAAACATTTATTTCCTCTTCACAGTGCTAAAAGTCTAAGTGCCAGCTTTTTAAAAGTCTTTAGAAGGAATGAGAAACTGCTCTTTCTGTGTCTGAAGATCTATGGAATTTAAAGAAATTAAGGGATATGTTTGGAAGAAGGAAAAGCCTGCAGTGTATGCCATCATCAGTTTCTAATCATCCCCAGCTCCTCCCCAAGTTCTCGTTTTCATAAAGATAATTTAAAAACAACATGCAAGTGGTTCAGCCTGTCTCTGTGTATTATAATTTGTTTAATGCCCTGGTACACAAGTATAGATTTGGTGGATTGTTTTTCCTATAGTCAGAGGACTGACTAGGGTGGATAAATTAATAAGCAGGAGGTTCCTGCATGTTGGAATTAGCCACTTATCTGTTTCATCCATTGCTTGTTTGTTCATGTTTTGCTCATTCGGATGTATCCTAAAGAAATGAGATACCCAGCTATTATGGTAGTGCCAGTTTCTAATTTGTTCCAGGAGTTCATAGCCACAGGAGCACATCAGGAACGATCTGTAGGTGTTTCCATACTACTATTCATTGCATTTGGGTCATAATTAGGTTTTTAATTTTAATGTTATTGGGTTTTAGCTGACCAGCTAATTAAAAAAAAGTATAGCAATGCTATGCTATGCATAGCTATGCTATGACTTTCTATACTTACTTTTGAGAAGTCAAGCAAGAGCTTTTACTGAAACACATCCCACTGCAAAGATTTATGCACATGGGGTAACACTGCCACTCTGCTAAAGCACTTGAAGGTCACTTGAAAACCTAGAGTTTTGACTAAAGTAGGACTCTTCCTTGGCAGGTCCTACAGAGAGATTTTTGAAGCTGGCCTCCAAAGCACCTTCTGCGATTCCTGAAAGATCAGGTTTTCTAGGGGAAGGAACTGCTTCTTTTGCAGATGCTATTAGCATAAATATCACAACATGAAGCCCATAATCACACTCAGAGGACCCTTTCCTCTTGTATGTCAGGCAAATCACATTTAATTTGGCATTTACTGAAATATGACTGTTGAAACTGTACCAGCACTACATATTACATTGAGCAGGTATCTATGCTACATTGCATGCTACACTTGGGGCAAAATATGGCAACAGCCATTCTAAACTAATAGAATTATAGTGCTTTTCCATTATAACATTTTTGCTAGTCCCATGGTAATATTTCTCTTCCATGCCTCTCAAGAGAACTTAAGAACCAAAATACTTCAATGAAAACTCTGTGCATCTCTGAATTCTTTCAGAAATACAACTATGATTGAATTCAAGATGAAGATGGTAAAGTAATCTCATTCTTTGCATGTTTTAGGCCTGCTAAAATAAAGCTTAGCAAAATGCTGCTAAGGCAAGAGATGGAGAATGAATGGGAAGATTATAGTGCATTATTTTACATGTTTTTACTTACTGAGTAGATGACCTCATCTTCTCCAGAGAAGAGATACCAGGCTTCTACCTTCTGTTCTGAGCTTAGTAGAAAGGTGGAATCTCAATTCCTAGACAATGCTATTTTTTATGTAGAGGTGGAGGTTGTTTCCCAGCATCTCTATGTTTCTTGCTGTTTTCTATAGTAATGATCACTTATGAAGAATAAGTAGATTTAGAGTAGGACAAGCTGCACATTCCCTCAATTAATATACCCACCCACCTGGTACTTGAGCTCCATACGGTCTTGGATTAGGAATGAGAGAACTTGCAAAGCTATTGCTTCTGTCAGGCCTCCAAAATAAAGCCTCTCCCTGGTGGGTTTTTGCTTTCCCTCAGAGTAATCCAGTAATAATTATTCCAACTGCAGAAGCCTGTCCAAGCCCTAATCTTTTAACTGAAACCACCATGGTTTGGGACAAGGGATCTGGTTTCAGTAGGACTTCCAGCCATCTTCCCACTCTACCTTCTCTCAGAGCTGCATTCACTCTTCCTTTGATTCTTCTTAAAAGAGATATCCCTTATACACTACTGAAAGGGAACTGTGTGCAAAGCCTTTGGTGCTATCACACCCACTTCAAGCTAGAGGCTTTTCTGCAGGTCAGTTAAGTGCTATTTCTTCTTGCTTAATGGGCTGTCCTTACTAGTGTGCCTATCTCACCCCTTGTCCATCCCATTCAGAATTAAAGAAAAGCTACAGATCTGAGCTAATGAAGCCTGTCAGCTGCCATCTACTTTTTGCATTAATATTAATTTATTAACGTGTAGTTGCTTCTGCTGTGTATTTTTGGAAAATCCCAACTAGGTCCACTATCTTGAAATTTGGAGCCATGACTTGGATCATTAAAAAATTAATCACCGATGGCAGCAGAATATGACAGGAATGGGCTTGATGATCTATTTGGAGTATAAGAAGAATGAACTACTGGTTTTGTTTACTCCAATAGCCCATCTAGCCTAGTTGCCTTTGACTGATGAGTAGAGGATGCTTGCAGAAAGACTGGAAAAAATAGGACAAGTGTAGGATTTCCCAACTTCTGGCAGTCAGAGGCTGTGGGAATTTCCTAAACCAGAATTTTCACTGGATTGCATCATCATGTTTACTAGCCATCAATGGACTTGTGGACCATAAATTGTCTGTTTCATTTTGAACTTTCTTGACCTTCCCCATCATCCTTTGATAACAGACCAAATATCCTTTTTTAGTATAACAGCTTTTGCAATAAAAAGGAGAATATACACAAATATGTGTTTAGTCTGAAAGCCTGCTTCAGTGTAGCAGAGCTGAAACTGTTTTCCCCAATACTTTGTTGCTGCAATTTAGAAACACAGGTCTTAAAAATAGCTTTTTGTAACAATTTAATCTTGCTGCTTTTCTTTAAGTTCAGATTTTTTTGCCCTTGTTCATTTGGTTTTGTGGACAGAGCACTAATGTCCTGTGCCATGTACATCCCTGCATAACTTGAAAAAAAAATCCCTGCTGTGTTTTTTCATGGAAGATCAAAAATGAATATGAATGGTGCATAGATTGTGCCTCTAGGTTTGTTTCTCTCTCTTTTGATTTCCTTCTTATTATTTATTTTTCTTTCTTATTTGTCTCAATTTTCATTCATTTCTCTTCTGTTCTCACACATCTCCTGTGGTTCCTCTCGAATTCCGATGGCAGGATGGAATTGGATTATTAAAGTATTATTAAATTAGGTTATTTTTTTGTTCCCCAGAAATCTTGAATCAGACATATTACATTGTATTGGAAAATGGAAATTGAAGAGGAAAAGAAGCAGTATATAGTACTAGTGGTTTATTTTCCTTTTTTTTTTTTTTCAGGAAATGGATGTTTGCCCCAGACAAAGAGTAAAGGATGTTGGTAAAATACCTTCAGTTAACACCAATAGGCTTTGAAGTGTTTCATGGCATTTAGAGAAGATAGGCCTCAGCTAGGATTAATAATAAATGGACATTAATCTAAAGTCATTGTAGTCATGTACTTTCCAGTATTTTTGTTGCGTGTATAAGCACTGGTCATCCGTGGTTTAAAGAGGGACCTACACAGGATGCTTTCCTGCTGTGCTGACTCATTCCTGATAGTCTAAAAAATGAAAAGGGGCATGTGTGCTTCCTGATTTCCACATTGCTTGTAACACTTTTAAAACAAAGTGTTTTGGATTCTCTTTGTCAAAAGGTGAGGTTCTCATTTAATCAGCAGATTCCAGAGTAAATGTTAAAGTGCTATTTTACCACAACTGTTTTCATTTTTATTCACTGTTTTCCCATGCACTGAGGAAATAAGAGGGCTGGGGAATTACAAAAAATAAGAAAACCCGTGTGTCTGGTAAGACCCTCCTTCAGAAAGTGATTAGGGGCTCCTCTGTCCACCAGTTAATGTGTGCTAAGTGGTCAAGTGATTCATCTTAGCTCATGTTTGATTGCCTGTGCTTTCTGCCTGCTTGTGTATAAACAAATTAGTAACACCCCTCCTCAAAAAGGAACCATGAGGTGTGTAGTACTTCTAAGAAAAACACAAAGTCATTTGTATCTGATTTGCCAAACAACCATTCTAAAATGAAAAATGCATAGGAAAAAACAAAACCAATCAGTAACAAGGAAATCTGGCAGTTGATGGCAGATGCACAATGTCTATCCATTACCATTAGAAAGCCCAGATAAACTAAAGTTCTCCCCTGCCTGCCCAGCCCTGAGGTATGAAAGCCAGGCAAAAATTACTTAGGAGGAAAAGTAAACTGAGAGCAATAAAGGATAAAAAGCTGAAATCCGCCAAGGTATCAAATTAAGTCATTGTGTTAAAAACCAAAAGAAAGAATACTCTTTCATTGACAAAAGCCTTATGCCATGAAAGTTGTACAGATTCTCTTCCAGCTCATCTCAGAGCTTGATTACATCCTATGTGCTCCTGGTCCAGCTATCAGGCATTTGACGAGGTCAGTGCTGGTTGCTTTTTAATTGAAGGAAGTTTCCGACTCCTGCATTTGTGAACAAAGTCACGGCCTGTGGGTAACTGATGCAGTGGGAAATTATGCCTGTAGATGACCTGAACTGTTCTCAGGGACGAGGAAAATGTTGTCATTACTTTGCTGGCTGTACAAACTATGTGCTCCCTCCCTTTGCTCCTCCCTCCCTCTTTAGTGCCTGCTCCAGATCAGGCAGCACAGGTAGTGTAGGGTTTCAGAGGCTCTTTGACATGTCCTGCAGTACTGAACCCTTGTCTCATGGTCACTAAGAAAAACATTTATGTGAATGCATGGTAGACATAGCACATCTCCGATAGCATCAAGGCAAGCAGGGATTCCCTCAAACTCAAAGAGAACTCTTTCTGCCAGATGGGAATGGTATTTCAGGCATGGGGGGGGCACCGCTAGTGAAAGTCACAGAGGGTTTAGGGTCCCGGATTGCCCCAATCTGGGCAGTTACAGTCCATATGCAAGTATTGTCTTCTGCCTAAGCAGATGGAAGGGAGACTGCGGTTGTGTGAGGACCCAGGAGCATCTGTCCTCACGTCAGAATGCAAAGTAGGTGGCTAGAGGAACACTTCAAGATACTTTCACATATCTATTCCAAATGATGCAGGGAGTTGGCATCAGAATATACTAGGAAGCCATACCTCTTCAGTATCCACAAATATTTGCCATTGCTATCAGTGAATGGCGTACCATGTCAGTGTAATTTGATGGGGATGATGACACATTTTAAGGCTCCCATTCTCACCATCACATGGCTTTGTGTCCCTGCATTTTAGTCATTTCAGAGCAGTGCATCACCGCCCCACTGGCTCATGCTGTGCTCTGTGTTTAGCAGCACATATTTATGACATGGGGAGTGAAGAATGAAGTTTAACTCACGTCCTTAACTAACCCGTAAGTGAGGGATTAACTGCCTACTGCATTCTTTTACTAAGTATTAATCACTGAACATTATTTTCATTTTTTTGAAAAGTCTTTTGCTTCCTTAGTATGTCAGCACACAACTGGGTTTGAAATCGTGGTGTTTGAGGGGCTGCTGATACATTAGTCATGCCATTGCTGTCGTTGGCCTGACAAGGGACCTGTTGTGTTACTTTCTGAGTAAAGGAAAAAGTACACGTCGATGGGCTGCAGTTATCAAGGTTTGCTCTTGCTTCACAAACCTGTCTTCCTGGCTGTGGTAGAGTTAAAAAAATAATTACAAGTTTTTCAAAGGATCACCCACATACACATGGTATGAGAGCTCTTTTCTTTGTTGGTTTCATTTTATTTGTACATGACTCACTCTTGGCAAAATGAGTGAGCCTCATGAGCCTGTAAAAATTCTGTTTGGATTAAATGATTTGCATTAAATGATTTATAACTGCAAGAAGGGTTTAATATTCCTGTAATTCCTTAAGGAAAAACAAACCGATCTTATTCTTTCAAGTAGCTATTGCTTTCACGCCTGTTATTTCAGACGCCATCTTACTTGCTCAAGCTGATAGCTGGTAATGAGACTCTGGGTACTTCTCCTTCCTTGCTTTCCTGGCCTCATGAATTAGAGATGGGTGGTGGGGATGTACTGTCATCCTTTTCTGAGCACATTCTTCTGAGCGTGACCGAAGGCCAGGGAACCTACAGCCTCCCAAACCTGTTTGCCTTGTGAAGAGCAAGGAGCAGCACTTGTGCTGGGATGATGTGGGGTGATCATGTTTCTGAGACCAAATTTGCCCTGGTTTTGTAGGCCAGAGGACTGTCAGTCTTCATTTTCCTCTCAGAGCCAGTGTTCTGGTTACAGCCCACCTCATTCCTGCTGACGTCTGCACGGGTCAGCTGTCAGCAGGGCTGGTGGGCTGCCCAGCTGCCCTCTCACTCTGACCCCTTGGTTCCCCAAACCCAGAGATGCGGGGCCAAGGGGAGAGCCCCCACTGGGCATCCCTGCAGGGAGGATGCCAGCCGCCAGCATCCACCTGGGCTGCCGGCACCCCTGGGACGGAGGCCCTGCGGCGGGGTGCGCCTGTCAAAGCCCATGGGAAAAACATACGAGTCAAGAGCGGGACAATCCAGCCGGATGCAGGAGGTGCCATCAAAACGCCCTTTGACTGTGTGTTTGCGCAGAGCCGCGGCTGCCCTGGGTGTCCACTCCAGAGGCTGAGCCGTGGCACAGTTGTTACCAGGGGCCGCTGCCTTCAGCCTCGGACCACGGGGAATTCTCCTCCTCTCCCGTGCCCGTGCTCCTCTGGCAGGGCGACCCACGGCCGCGGGATTTACTATCCGTGGCAGAAACGCGCCGCGGTGTCCGCGCAGCGGCTCCCCCGCGGCCCGTCCCCGCACCTCTCCGCCCGAGCCCCGGGGCGAAGCGGTGACTCGGCGGCGCCCCGGGGCCCGCCCTGCCGGGCGCCGCCCGCGGGGCCGCAGCGGAGCCGGGGGCATCCCGGCTCCAGCGGCGCTACAAGTGGCCGCCGGGGGCGGTTTCGGCTCCGGCTCCGCCGCGGTTTCCCTCCGCCCCGCTCCCGCCTCCCGGCGACCCTCTCCGCGGTGCGGAGGGGCCGCGGGGCGCGTTGCGTAACGCCGCGCTGGGCTCCGCTCCGCCGCGCGTCGCTCGGGGCGGCGGGAGGCGCGCAGTCAGCGAGGGGAGGCGGGCCGCCGCCGCCGGAGGTGAGCGGCGGCGGCGGCGCGGGCGGGGCCGGGCCGGGCCGGGGGGGCGC